CCACGCTGAATGGCTGTACTTCGTCTTTGGGCGAGAAAAGAAGCAGAACTCTTATCACCAGCGGCAACGACCAGTCGCGGATAGAGTTCTTTTAGGAACTTCACCGCACGTGGACCCCACCGACCGAGAGTCTCTACAGCAAATGGCACAAATATGTAGTCATCTCTCAAAGACTCATATTTGCGCCACTTACTCAGTTCAGCTGCCTCTGAAGAATTATGCAAATTCAAAAGTTTAAATTTGTGGCTTTTAAATGAAATTACCTTACACCAGACTGCGGTTTTCGTAAGTTATGGGAATTGTAACTGAAAAAGTTTGTAGAGATTAATATTTTTACATTAATTCGGCTTTAATATAATTAAGCTTCATTGTTAAATGAGAATAATGATCCGTTACCGTTACCAATACAGCCTATTAAAGTCCACTGCTGACCATAGGTCTCTGATTGCATCATAGGCGGGATATTTGACATAGTTGCCACGCTTGGCAAGCCGGTTACCAACCCGCTTGCCAAGCGTGGCAGCAATGAATAATGGTCTATTGTTATATTATTATCTTTAGTCGTAACTGACAGGTAAAGGCTTTTAAATTTTTATAATAAATAATTGCTTTTAAAAAGTTGCTGCGTAATCATCTATTAAAGACAACGCTTCTTATATGAATCATCCATGTCATTTATATTTTTAGACGTATATATTCATAGTTATTTATATGTACTATTTGTATATGTATGTTAATATGATATATGTATGCTTATGTATGTATGTATATATTTGTATACATATATAATAGGAGATATTTTTATAGTTTATTTATTGTATATATTAGTAAAATGTATATGCTATAATTGCTATGGGGACACGCAGCTGACACTGAAATTATATTTGTTTTGCAGAAGAGGGCCATAAGAGCAATTTATGATTTAAAGCCTAAAGAGTCGCTGTGACAAAAATTTAAGGAAATTAATATATTAACTTTGGCCTCTCAATACATTTATGAAAATGTAATGTACGTACACAAAAATAAAAGTAGTTTTACAAAAATAAGTGATATTCATTCTGTAAATACTAGGAACAGACACAAGCTAGTAGTACCAGTTACTCGACTCCATCGAGTCAGTAATTCATTCTTGGGGCGATGTATACGCTTTTACAACAAAATTCCAGAAAATATACAAAGTTTGACCTGTTCAAAGTTCAAAAACTTTATTAAACTAAGTTTGTATAAAAAGGGTTATTATAATATTAAGGAATTTATGGATGATAATAACCCCTGGAAATGAGGTGATCGCTACCAAGCTATTTCTAATTTGTTGTGTTGTTAATTTGTGTAACATCATGATTGTAAGCTGTTATTTAAAAAAAAGTCCCGCTGGGTTTCTTGCTGGTTCTTCCCAGGACAGAGGTTTTTTCCGAACCAGTGGTAATCAAACAAAAGAGTGACTTTCAATAAGTATTATTTATAATCTATATTGAATAAAAAAGTTTCTGTTTCTGTTTCTGTTTCTATGTAATGTAAATAATTATCATTTTTATTTTGTTTTTATTCTATATTGCTACAGCTACTTCAAATTCTCATCACTCCATCGGTTGACTGATAGAGAATGCCTCAAGGCATTAAGTCCGCTTGTTATTATTAACCATCTAGGGACCCGCACAAACACAGCAATTGAGTTACATATATAGAGATGTAAAAAGGATTACATCTTATATGTACTAAAATAATGGTTTTGAGTATTATTGTAGCATTATCATTAAAAATATTAACTCTTTTGAATAAACGCTTCAATATAGTGTCTTGAATTAAATCGATTTTAATTCTAAAATTATTAAATTACCCTTTATTATCTTCTATATACCAAAATCAATTGCTTGTTGAAAGAGTAATTGAAAACGACTGGACCGATTTGAAGATTTTTTTTGTGTATTTGAATCGGTCCATAGATAGTTTAGAATTACATTTAGACCCGGTAGGTGGCGCTGTTGCAGATATCCAGAAATCACCCGTGCGAAGCCGGGACGGATCGCTAGTCTGTTGATGAAAATAGATCGAGGAACTCAAAGCCGAATATGAAATTGTAGACGCAATACTATAGCGTTTCAATTCAATGTTAAATCGATTTAATTCACTATCGAATGTAGGTACTGGCAGATGCAAAACAATGATTTTTTCCATTATTTAAAAAAAAAACGTTAATCTCACATAGGGACTTTATATATCGTGGAGGTAGTTTAGTTACACACATAAACTGAATAAGGAAATACATGGGACGTGTAATTTGTAGGCCATACAAATACCCGCTCCGTGCTATGTTCGAACCCGCTGCCCTATGCGCCAAACTCATTCCTAAGCCACTGCTCCACGGAGCCGTTAAGTTCTAGGTATATAAGAAAGATAATTCAAACGAAAATAATCTGTTTAAAATAAATGTAAAATCCACTAGGAAAATCTAGGTCTAATAAAGAGAAACACTTAAAACTTTTTTATATATTTTTGATTTCTTAAATTAGCACCATCATACGGCCTGTGGTCCGTAATCCTTAATCGGTCCTTGATCAACTTCCTCTTCATTTAGTTCACGGCTTTGAAGCCTGTTTTATAATAGGGAGGATTCACTGTGGTTGTTTGGTAGATTTTATACGTGGTAGAGCCACGCTGTAGGCATATTATGGTTGTAGTATACTAGTGCAAAATAGCTACTTAATTCTCCGGTTGCGTAAGATAAAATTGTAGAGAACCGGAAACCTTTTTACCTCAAACGAGGTACAATGATTTCTTATACTTACGCGAACACTACACATTCAATAAAACTACTTTTAGGGATTTATTATTACTACTTATTTTTAATTCCCGATGTTTCGGGTGCTTTGCAGCACCCATGGTCACGAGGGGCTGAGGTGAATGACGTCTAGGTGTCAAAGTTAACCTACGCAGAATGAACTTGCTGTGTCTTGAAGTCTTGCAGTGGTATGAATGGGTTTAATTTTAATTTTATTAATTACAGAATCCCAAGCAGGTGGTAGTAACCAGCCTCCTTCTCCATTGAAATAAAGATGTCTTTTAATATCAATAGTCTCACGTATCATCCTTCGTAGGAATCGATGTTCTTTCGCGAGGATTTGTGGTCAATCAAATCTGATGTAATGGCGGGGGCCGTCTAGGATATGATCACAAACTGCAGACTTCCGGAGCGTTTTTGTTTCACGTCATCTATATGTTAGTCTTTAAGGAGGACAACACATCTGCATTTTTAGTTTTAACATTTTTTTTAAAGATGTCTATGGGCCACAGTATCCACTTACCATCAGGTGGGCTGTGTGCTCGTTTGTCATGCTTATCTTTATTTATGAAATTCCTGTGTGCGTGTGTTCGTAATTCTTTTCCTCCCAAACGGCTTGACCGATTTGGATAAAAAATTATGGGGTACTTCTGAGGTCACCTTAGATGGTTGTTAGATATAGTTGGGTTGATCGCTAGTTATAGATAAGAATTGTAGCCTATATGATAAATATGAGTATTTTTATGTAATATAGGTACTTATAGTGTGTATCTATAAAAGTCCACATGTCCTTACACCACCATTGTCGACTCTCACGATACTCTATTATGGTTTTCACGTGGTAGAGCCATGCTGCAGCTATATTAGTAGTATAGTTGTAGCACGAATGGGTCGGCTCGACCGGGGGAGGACCACGCTTTCACAGAATACCAGCGTAAAATAGCAGCTTAACGCTGCTGTGTTTGGTATAGTGAGTGTAGATAACCGGAGACCCTTTTTACTGGAAATGAGGCATTCCATCTTAGTCCTCATGGGTGGCAACGTATCTGCATTTTGATTTGTAATAGAGGATAGATGTAGATGGCTATAGGTCGCAGCGACCACTTACCATCAGGTGGACTGTGTGCTCGTTTGTCACCCTAATTCTATAAAAAAAAAAACAATAAGTTCGATAGGATTATGTAATAGAAAATCGGTTTTGCAACCATGTCAAAGTTGTTAAAGGCACTATTTGTGCTGTTTATTGGTTACGTTTCTAGTTTGCTGAGATAATCCGAATTTTCCGGTGTTGTATACATTTTTTTTACAAAGACCAACCACAAAACGTACTTACGTACTAGCACGCAGTGGTAGTGCCTAGTAGTAGCTCATTATGACTGCAACATGAAAGCGTCTCGACCGGGGAAGGACTGCACTCACACAGAATACTATCACAAAATAGCAGCATGTTACTACTGTGTTTCGTTTGACGAGTAATATGATGAAAAAGAAGGAAAAAATTAATTTAATTTCATGTGTATATTGACCGAAGCTTTCGTTATGTTTCGTTATGAAGTCAGTAGATTATTTGTATCTATTAACAGGTTTTACTGACTCAACCTACATCTGTAAAAAACTGAATTTCATCCACTTTTGATTTTACTACTAAGTTTATACAATAAAAATGAATGAATTTGCGTTTCAGGCTTGTTTGATTGGTTTTGATGAGTCCCTTATATTAATTATCGTGTTAAAAATCTGATGATAGAGCCAGAAGCTCCTTTTTATTTCTATAAAAATATCAATAACTTCATATTTTTTTATACGTGGTAGAACCATGCTGCAGCTATATTAGTAGTATAGTTTAGCACGAATGGGTCGGCTAGACCGGGGAAGGACCACGCTCTCACAGAAAACCAGCGTAAAATAGCAGTTTAACACTGCTGTGTTTCGTATGGTGAGTGTAGAGAACTGGAGACCCTTTTTACTGGAAAAGAGGCATTCCATCTTAGTCCTCACGGGTGACAACGCATCTGCATTTTGATTCGCAAACGAGGATAAATGTAGATGTCTATGGGCTACAGCAACCACTTCAGGTGGACTGGGTGCTCGTTTGTCACCCGATCCTATAAAAAAATATATTATGTAAAGTAATAATTATTAAATACTTATTACAAAATATTGTGTGAATATTGTTATTGTAAAAAATTCTCAGCAATTACAATCTCTATTTATTTTTCAGCTGTTACTCCATACCGGCAAACAACATGTCCGGTGGGTCGCACGTGTCGAGAGGAACGTTTGGGGGTGCGGAGTCGGAAATATCCGGGAGCAGTGCCCCACCGCTGCCTAGTCCGGCCTCTGCGGGGGCTGCGCTGGTGTCACCGGAGACTCTGAGCCGTCACAGTAGCCCACCGCCACTGCCAGCACACCCCTCGCATCAACAGCCGGCGCCGTCTTGTTCTTCACATCACGTGCACATGGAATCACCTTTAAGGTAAAAGAAATATATATTGTTATTTATATTAATAAAAGAAAAAAAAACGAAATCCACATTATGGTGTAATGTGATAGCTTAGTTGCGAGGCAGGTTACTTTTTTTAATTATATTACACAAGCAACGTAAATTCGATACGTACGCCTTCAGTAGAAGTGAGTAATTTGAATTTGTGAAATATTACTGTTACCGGTGAGAAAATCATTGTGAGAAAATTTTTTTTTTTCATGTTGGTACTCTGTGAGAGCTGCAGCTGTATTATGTTGTATTATGGGTCGGCTCGACCGGGAAAAGATCACGCTGTCACAGACCACAGTGAAACAGTAGCTTAATGCTGCTGGGTTTCGTATGGTGAACGTACAGAACCAGAGATCCTTTATACAGGAAGAGAGGCTGCTTCTGTAACAGTCAATCGAGGATAGATGTAGCTTTCTATGGGCCATAGCATCCACTTGCCATCAGGTGGACTATGTGTCCGTTTGTCACCCTTATTCTATAAAATAAAACAATAAAATTAAAATGAGAAGCTCTACTCGTATCACCTAGAAATGTCTAAGTATAACAGGTGCAGAACATTTGTCTTGTAATATTATAGGAGGATTAATTTAAGTAGGTGTCAGATTTCCCAACTGTCCAGACAGTAATACCTTTATAAATAGACAAATTTAGAGGAACGCATAAAAAGTGTGTATAAAACAACATTAAAACTTTTAACAAAAAGTAAAAACCGACTTCAAATTTCTAAAAAAGAAGTTATTTATTTGCTACCCTTAGGGGTGAAATTTTTTCTCCGAATTCACCCTTGAAGTGTAAATTATATTTAATAATAATAATTTAAATTTAAAAATTTTGTACAACTGACTTCAATATAAATCATTTAGAATAACTTAAAAACTATTGGTCAGACCTTGATCAAATAAGGGACCACATGAGAAGCACCAGCTTTCAAATAAAAAAGAATCATCGAAATCGGTTCACCCAGAAAAAAGTTATGAGGTGATGATGGACACACGTAACAAAAAACATATAGTCGAATTGAGTACCGTCTCCTTTTTGAAGTCGGTAGAAAAACGAATCATCAAAATTGGAATCTGCGAAGATATCGCGTAATATACACACAAAAAAAAAAACATACACTTGAATTGAACCCTTTTTGAAATCGGTTAAAATATCATGGATATTTGTGATAACTAAGTTTATTGATTTGGATTTTGCTTATTATTCGTTAACTTAAACAACTTAACAATTACATTGTCGAAAAAACAAACGATCAAATGACAAATTAACCAAATTGAAAAAAAAGAAAAATTTATAGAAAATAAACATATTTGTACTTATTTTACATACTCGTATCTCCTCAGTTTCAAGGCACTCCCCTTGCTGCCTCAGCTAGCATCGGAATCCTCGGCATTAACTATCAGATAGTGTGCAGTTTCGTGGTCAATTGAAGGGAAGGCCAAATTGGCCTCTAAAAAGCTTGGCGAGCTCAGCAGAGCGGGACAGTATTTCATGCCGGCACATCGCTTGCAACTTTACAAAGCGCAAATCCGGCCTCACATGGAATACTGTTCTCATCTCTGGGCCGGGGCACCCCAGTGCCAGCTCCTTCCACTTGACCGCATCCAGCGCAGAGCGGTTCGAATCGTCGACGACCGAGTTCTTTCTGATCGGCTCGATACACTGGCTCTGCGTAGAGATGTCGCATCTATTGTGTATTTTATCGCATTTACCACGGGGAGTGCTCTGAAGAATTGTTCGGACTAATTCCAGCCGCTCAATTTCACCATCGCACATCGCGACAAAGCTTGAGATACCATCCATACCACCTGGATGATTGGCGGTCCACCACTGTGCGATTTAGAAGATGTTTTCTTCCTCGCACAACTTCCTTGTGGAATCAATTACCACCAGCGATTTTTCCGGACCGATACGACTTAGGGACCTTCAAGAAAAGAGCCTACTCCTTTTTAAAAGGCCGGTAACGCATTTGCAATTCCCCTGGTGTTACGGTTGTTTATAGGCGGCGGTAGTCACTTACCATCAGGTGATCCGCATGCTAAAAGCTATAAAGTGGGCAATAGTCAGTACTTGTTACAGTGTTGCCCCCTCTAGCTCCACGAACTGCTCCCAGTCTTGTGTGTCTGTAATGCGCTTTTAAGATCTCTTAAATTAGCTGGGGCAGGATTTTTTTTCTTAATTCTTAATAATTTGTCTTTCAAGCTTTTTCCATACATGGTCTATGGAATTTTATTCAGGTGGGTACCGCTCCACCCCATAGCATTAATTTCTTCGTCTCGAAGTTATTCGACAACTACGACCGCAGTATGGGGGTATGCATTATACATAAAAACAAATTTATGTCCTATGAAAGAGGAAATGACACTACAATTTCTTCCACAACCTCAATTACATATCGTGCCGCTGTTAGTGATCCATTCTCAATGACGCGGAGTTCCGTACGTGTCCCCATACAAATAACCCCCCATACCATATTTGACCCTCCACCATAAGCCTCTTTTCCAATAATGTTGTACTAAGCATACTTCTCTCCCAGGCATCTCCACACTTTAATCCTCATATAGCTTCAGGTAAAATCTGGACTCATCTGTGAATTATCAAACTCATAAAACTTGACTGCAAGCTTCGTCAATCCAATTTTCGTGATTGCGAGCAAAATTAACTCTAGCAACTCGAGATGCATGTGCCGAGAAGGGGGCAGGCAAGACAGGCAGGAAAGTGTAAAGTTATTCCGGCCAATTTCAGTCTTTTCTCACAGTTTTTGTGCTTACCTTGAACTTCTTGAACTTCGTCCTTACCTCATAACTTAGATTATTTACTCTCATAAGAAGTTAAGGTCTGGTTTTAAAGTACGCTGATAACGATGAATCGGTAATCCAGGCCACAGATTTACGTTTACGAGAGTAAATAATCTAAGCCTCATAAGAAGTTAAGGTCTGGTTTTAAAGCACGCTGATAACGATGAATCGGTAATCCAGGCCACAGATTTACGTTTACGTCTTTGTCCAGCAAGTTTAGTATACTGTTCGATCTGCTGATATCTCTTGACAACTCGATGTACCACAGATTTTGATACTCGTACTTTTTGGGCCACATGTTTGTAGGTGAGCTCAGTTTTAATTAAAGTAACAGACCTAGCAACTTGAGTGACGTTTAAATCTGGAATTCTCAGTTTATTTGCAGTAACAATTTACACTTAACACGATATACAAGGCAGTCAAGGAAAAAATTTAAGCACAACCCAATTTTAGTTACGAGTTTATCAAATTCAAAAGTTAGCAAAATTTTTTGCAGTATAAAAGAACGCAATGTTACGCAATAATTACATAAAAACAAATGAAATCCGAAAAAAATACATTCCAAAACTTTCCCTTTTTGTAATAGTATTTAGTAATGTTTGTGGCCAGTATGCACAATAATTACAACAGGAGAAATTAAACCTTGTTTTTGCGTTCCTCTAACTTTGTCCATGAGTGTATAACTAACCATTATTTTTTATTACACAGAAACGGTTTCAAAAATCAATGACGATTACTCTTTGAGTATATATAAGCAAGTACATAATCATACCTTGCTTATGTGTACTACAGGTTTGTTTTTATAGTATAAAAACAAATTGTATGCGATAAAAATCGAAAAATTAGCTTTCCTCCATGTGTAGTATTCGCGTTAATAGAGTTAATATAACAATTTAAGTAATGATATATAAAATAATTTCAACAGAAAATATGAGTAAAACGGCGCCATTTATATATACTTACAAACATAACTAATAGGTCTTTACCTATAAAATTGCCGTACTGCGGTACTGGCCATTTTAAAGCATCAAAATATTTTTAGTTTGGCTAAGAATTCTAATTTCAAATTAATTTTATTGTAAAAAATTGGAGTTATTTTTTCAAAATTATTAATTAGTTTATTGATTAGCATAATATTTTCATCCTATTTGAATCTTTTTCTTCATCATGGATACGTTGAAATTTGTGGAATTAGGGAATATGAATACCGTCGTGGCAGCAACGCGGCGCAAGCGATACGCAACATCAACGAAGTTTGCGAAGCTAATACTACAAACGAACGCACCACCTGTTATTGGTTTTCCCGCTTCCGTTCTGGAAATTTCGACCTGCCGAAAATGCCTTTGAAGAATTAGCTGCCGTCCAGCTGATTTCTTCAGAGAGGGCATCAATAAACTGCACCTGCATTGGTAAAGATACATCGATTGCATGGGTGTTTACTTTGATTAATAGAAATAAAAAATATAGAAAAAAATATGTTAACTTATTTCATAAAAACAGCAATTTTATAGGTAGACCTATGATTATTAAAGCTGCTCAATTGCCACGATGAAAGAGGTGCCAATACTAGTGGCGCAGCATTATATTACCGCTCGGAACCTCTAGAGCCGAAAAGTCCCCCACAACGTTTCCGAACGTATTAATTTTTAATTTGTGAAAATCATTTCATATTCATTTAAAATCATTTTATATATATATATATATATATATATATTCATTTAAAATAATTTCACACACACACACACACACATATATATATATATACATATATATGCTATGAATTAATATAATTTAAAATACAGTACTATGTAGGATGTATACAGTGAAGGACCACTGCTGGCCATATGAGGACTTACGGAGATCCGTGAGTCATCACTGGCAACACGCACTGGTTGTACAATTTCGTTATAAGGTTTTGAGGTATGTCTGACGAGAAGATGTGTTGTAGTTTCCCGAACGCTGTCCAGCCGAGTTGAATCCGTCGATTGACCTCTCGGTCGAAGTTGGACTTACCGAGTCGGACTATTTGTTCCAGGTAAACATACTCGTCAACAACTTCGAGCTTAGTGTTCCCAACAACTACCGGCATAGATGTGACATGGACATTAAACATAATCTTTGTTTTGTCCATGTTCATCTTAAGAACTATCCGTTGGGAGACACTATTGAGGTCATTGAGCATAG